AAATGAAGAAATACATTACAACAAATATAGTGGGATATSTATAATACTAAAATTTTATTGATAAATACATTAAATTCTCAAATATTTTATAAACAATACTTTTTTGTTTTTTGAAAATTATAAATATTTTATTATTTAGTGTAAATTAAAATATTAATTAATCATTTATAAGAATATATAATCTTAACTTAAAAATATATCAAATCTATTATGATTTCTAAGATATATCATGTTTAGCTAATTGACAAACTTTACCCTTACTGTATATTTATATCTTAAAGTACCCCTACTAGTTATGACAATTGACTAATTACTCCCTTGTCGTTAGGGTTCCATTACAATCCGTCACAATCTGCTCACATGTCACACCACATGACTGTTATAATTTGACAGTAATACCCTTTCTGTAACTGGTATTAATTTATCGTTCAAATCCACTCATAGGCCTTGGAAGCATCCAAATCTGCCAACACCAACTCCCTCTTATCCTTGTTGTGATCCACTGCCTTCATCCCAGATATCAACTCGAAGAAAACTACTTTGAAATTGTAAACATCGGTCTTCTCTGAACAAGCTTCATGTTTAATCCATTCATGAGACCGGAACCTCAGCATTTCACTTCATAGACAAGCAAGTAATGGATAGCGGACCAATCCAATTGCTTATTTGTTCTGTTCTTTTCAGAAAATACAAAAACAACACCGAGAGATGGTGCTGCTCCAAACCTAGAATTGCTTGCAAGGTGGTTTCAGCGGTCATCAAGTAATAAGTAGAAGATTTCAGCAGCACTCAGATAGCAGTGTCATTTGCTGCTGCCCCCAGAAAGAAGCAAAAACTAAAGAATTGGGGTTATGAGTTTGCCCGCAGGATAGTAGCGCCATCTGCTGCTGCTGTTGTTGCATCGGATTCAAGAGTTGCCCAATAGACATTCCAGAGTGGTTCAAGCACAAATTGCACAAACATCAGCCGTGCCTTACTCAAGCTACAGATTCCCTTCTTTCCCACAATCATCTTGGTCTTGGGATATAATTGAGGACCCTGCAAAGCCTTATATAATGCAGCTGCCTTACACAAACCACAAATCAAACTCCAACCCAATAAATACGAACGAGTAAACACCAGAAAGCTGTTAATTCAATTTAGCCAAACAAGAAACGATGACTGGATTTTCCTCTCTAAGAGAAATTTGAGGGTTTTGTTTGGTACTCAAATCTCTCAACCAAAAAGAAGGGGAAAAGCGATTTCTTTATGGTTGAACCTCACAAAACCAAGAAGTTATTTGTAGAATGTTTAAGGATGTAAAATAGTGATAGAACATGCAACCTTTCTTTTACTAGATGTTTGGGGTGACCGATTTCTTCAGTTGGGGAGAGAGTCTTCAATCTGATGAATGGCATGAAGTTGCAAATAAGGTCTGAAGAGTCAAATACAGAGGTGGCAACTATTGGAGGTTGCAATTTTTTTGGTGAAAATGTGGTGGTTCTGCGATGGTGGTGGCAACCAATTTTCTACACGAAGCCCTCTCAGGTGCAGCCCCGAATTTTGCGCAGGATATTAACCTCCATCCTACTGGTATTCGCTCTCAGTTCTTACAAGGCAGGTCCACTGAAGGCTTTGTTCTAGCGGCCACCACATTCAAATTGACATCAACAGCAGCAGCTGCAGCAGCAACCCTAGTCCTGCAACAACCTCAGATATCTGCACCTCCAATCCATCGCCAATGTCAGTTTCCAGTAATTTTCAAAGGTGATCCGATTCCAGTTCATTTGCTGCCAGAAGTTGCAATGGTGGTGGTGATTTAGCTTGAATGAGAAAAAACAAGGGAACCAGTGGTGACAAAAAACGAAGACGGAGACAGAAAACAGAGATGGAGAGTGAGAGGGAACAGCGATCTGCTTCCTATTCATGAATTTTTTGGTTTTATTTTGAAAATTTGAGGAATAATAGAGGGAAAATTAGACATTTAATTTTTCCATTAGCACTTAACGGTTATGTCAATTCTCAGAAAGAATTCTTCGGTTCAGGAAAAAAGTAGATGGTGTGCTTCCCGGAAGGTAAGAAGGGTGAGGGGTGGTAGGAAATCTCAAATACTTAAAGAGTTTCTAATATTGGCAACTGGTTCACAAGCCCCAGAATCGTTGTACTCAAAAGTGAAGCATCTACAGAAAGCAAAGAAGGCAGTAGGGGCCCTGGCATTAGGCGGAGCTTCATGTGAAAGGAGAATGGTGGTCAATGCTTCAAAGGAGGACTGGGAAAAGTGGCTAGTTATAGAAACAAGTAGACCACCAAGGGACTGGAAAATCATAGCAGAGGAGCTGGTAAAGAAACTGAGAGTGAAATGCACAACTATTGTAACTCCCTTTGAGAGTTGTAAAGCACAGTTGGAGGCATCAGATGTTGAGGTAGAGATTGATGCACTCTGCTATCAAATAGAGTGTGGTGCAGTTACAGTATCTAGATGGTCTCCTTTGGCTAATACATAGGAATTGTTAGTAGAAGATTCAGTCATAGTTCGGCTGTTGGGCCTGCCTTTCCATCTGTTGGGGAAATGTCTTTTACAACAAGACGCATAGAACTTTGACACAGAACAACTTCTTTTTAGAGGAAGAAGATGCTGTAGCATTGAATATTTTGTCTATCCCTTCAAAATCTGTAGCTGAACTGGAAAATCGAAGGGGAGAAGAGAGCTCCATCGATAGGGAACCAAGTTTGAGGCTAGATAGTCCAAATCTGAAACCAGAGGATAGTCTGGGGCAAGATGGCCAGGGGGGAGTAAAAAAAGCAGACTAAGGTTTTGTACCATAGGGTTTTGTCAATCAAGACAATGTGGAAACTGAAGAACATACTTGTGGAGAACCCATAGACTAAAAAAGCTAGTTATAGACCATACACAAAGTTGCAATTCTTTTTTTTTCTTGTGCTCTTATTCATATTCATGCCAGAGTAGATTCAAAAAATTATTAGTCTTGGTGTGGGTGGGGAAGTGAGGGAAGAAAAACCACAAAATGGTGTTAGATTTTGGGTCCCAACCCAAATCTCTAGGCATCTATATGAACAAGCTAGAGTCTAAATGGGATGCCCGGTTCTTCCAGGAGTTGCTCCCACTGGACCCCTGCTTCCTATGGCATATGTGAGAAATGAATCTCGCATAACAGCAGCCATGGCAATTTAGACAAACATAACAACGCGCTGATGAACAAAAAGATTAAAAAAAAAAAAACACAACTCCCCATAAACGAAATCTAATTCGACCACCAAAAAACACCACCTACCTCGCCATGGTTTGAGCAACTCCCGATCCAAGACAATTTGGTCACAGTGACACTAATGTGGCTGTTCTAGGATCTCCTTGAAAGAAAAATGCAAGGCTCACACCTCCAACGAACCCAAAACGAACGATCTCAAGAAATTCCAACCAACGTGCAAGACGAAGGACCACACAGACAAACAGTTGGAAATCGAATGGGTCAAAAAAAACTTAAGAACTACGAAGCTACAACGGAAATAAACATTAATTAAATCACAAACACATGGGAAGTGAATATTGCCCAGCTGAGATTCACCATTCGTCGTCATTCATCATTAAAAAAAATAGAATCAAAATCTTGATTAAATAAGTCAGAAATGATCAATCAAGGGTCAAACTTCCCATCATCCAAAACAAACATAAAAGAACCCTGAACAAAACAAACCGAAGCAACAAGAARCGATCTCAATGTTCGAGCCTTCAAGAAAACAAGCTAAAAGTGGAAATGGCATTGAAATCCTAGTGATGGGGATAAAGAAAACGATATCAGACGTACCTGATTCCTGAACAATCATCTGAGGTGACGTAACRACGAAGAAGGATGAATGGATGGATTTGAGTGGGCGAACAGGGTTTCGGAGATTGTGAGAGAGAGAGAAATATCTGGAATTTAGGCGGTTAGATCTTGGAGGAGAGTTATGGGCGGGAGACGAACGTCCCCATCTCCCACTTTTCTTCTGGTAATTATGTTCGCAAAGGCTTTCATACAGTGGTTTGTGATTGTATGAGCCAAAAAAAACTTGGAAGTTATAAATCCTTGTTTCTTGAAAATCTAGAAAGTTGAAAATAGATATACATGAGCCCAAAAATTGACTTTCCATTGAAGTTATCATAGTAGCTTCTCGAAAGTGACTTTTAATTTTAGGCCACATTCACCCAACTTCATGCATATTGGGAACATCTTTTATACTTTATATCACCAATATTTCTTGATGCTGATTTTTATAAAGGTAGTTCAAACGAAGTTGAAGCCCTCTCAACGAGTCCGGATCTCTTGCCCATAATAACTCTGTCCATGTTTACCCACATAACATTACAATCACATATGGCTAACATCCTATCCTCTTATGGGGATGTTATCATTGCACGGAGGTAGTGCATTGTGAGTAGATGTAGGCAAGAGATCCGGAGTCATCTCAAGCTAGTTTTGTTCCCTATTTGCAACTCTTGTGGTTGTGGGTATTATGGATAGCCTCTTTGTGAGTAGGAGATACAAGCTCCATTCCAATTAAACTACAAAGAGAGGGTGTCAAAATTAAAATTATGTGCATATTTGTATTAGATTTGATGCACTCAAGATCTATTGCTTGCCATGATGTGTATAATAGGCTATGCAGCCAATCACAAGTGGACATGTCAATGTTCTCCACTCGAGACCCAAAT